GCACCTTAACATATCTCCTCCATGTTACTATTATACACCCATATCTTTCTTTTTCTTATATATATATATATATATATATATTTATATACATATACATATAACAACAGTGTGAATATAATTTCTATATAAAACGTAACCCTTTTTTCAGTTTTTTTCTTGATCTAAACTTTAGGAAAAAAGAGTAAAGAGGGTGAATAATATAAAATCCCGTGTTGAATTTTTTTGCTTTAAAAAAAATTAGCTTTGCAAATTTCTCTCCTTTTTTCGATTTAATTTTTCGCATCTAGTTTTTTTTATACTTAAACCGAGCGAAAATATACCTGAAACAGGAGCAGTTGTTTTCATGACTAGTAATCAGCCAAGTTATACAAATTAGGTTGATACTAAAGAAAATTAAAATAGTTAAGTTACAGAGAGTATGTATCTGGAAAAGCTCAAGCAGAGCTTCATTTTATAGACTTATGAAGCAACCAACATTGACTTTGAATATCCTTCCACTTTTTTACTATAAGCCTTTAGGGCACAATTATAAAATAAGCGTTGTTTTTATCAACTTTGGTGTGGAGGGTGGTGCAATAGCAATTTCAAAGAAGAAGATATTTCCTTTTGCTTAGATGAGCGATGTTGACATATCTTCGCATCACTCTGTTTTGTGTACAAACCGAAGGTATCCCTTTGGATGTTTCTGATCCAACATTATACAAACTTTCCAAGTAATTAACATATAGCATTAATAGAATATGAATGGAAATTGAATAAATGAGGACAGATAAAATTGGCTTTTAACGTATCGCTAAATTGCCCGTTTACTTGTTTCATCCCTAATTAACCTAAGAAAAAGCAATACTTCAGAGCTTTTTTTTTGTACAATTCTCCCCTTTGGTCGGGGCAAATCGTCCATCACTCTTCATGAATACACAGACATCATCTTTTTTCAAAATCCCATCATATAAAGAAAATACAAATAATTGTATTACTGAATTGCATCCAATAGTGTATTTTTCCTATTGTGCATCTTCCCACTATTTTATTGAGTTTTATCAGAACTTGGCATTTTCCTAAGTATATTTGAAATATTTTTATGACGACTATATCATAATAATTAGACCGATGTCAAAAGACAGTACTGATCTTGACGTGGCTAAGTACGAAGGTGTATGTGAAAAAAAATTTAAGTCGAGTACATGAATGCTCTACTCTAAAATTAATTCTGTTGATGATTTATAGTAATACTCGTTTTTTTTTAAGTGCTATTTACGTCTATTAGGGGTAAGAGGAAGCGTGTGTAATCCAGACTTAAAATGTACAAGAAAGAAGGGAGAAGATTATCTACAGAACCCAGATACAAAACACTTAGACCAAAATATTTATAAGTATTATAGAGTAATTATTCTTCATTCCCCCCCCCTCCCCCCCCCTAAGGAAAAAACAGTTTGTTCATAAGTAATTTTCGATTTCTTCTTATTAATGCATTTTTATTATCACGCATTTAAGGGGTATACACGTGCTACGTCATTTTCTATCGCTTACGGGGCTAGTGGCTATCTTAATGTGTTACCGCAGAGCCTTGGTGCATTCAAAGTGGGTAACAATTTTGAAAGACCTCTGTCTCCGTGAGATCAGAAGTGTCGTGGTCAGACAGGGCCACATGTGGCCCAGGCGAGGTATGGCCATCACCCTATACAAGGGGAGTGCCCTGTAGATGAGCACTCTCAGTTCCGCATTATTGTCGCTGTTGTGCCTTTTACGAGGTGAGCAGTGTGTATAATGGAGCGCTGACAGTTGCACACATCGAATCCAAAAAAAAGCGAAGTGTAAGGCTGTAACAGTAAATTTCACAGTGAAGGTTGTTGAGTGACACATACTCGGCTGTTTCCACCGATCTGTATTACATCTCAGCCAAACTAGAAATTGTATAATGAATAATAAAAAAATCTTCAATTACCATCCGATTTGATTTTCCTTGTTCTGGTTAGTTATTTGCATCATCATGGTTCAAAATGATTTGAATCTTCTGGGCTATTCTTTATTTGTTGTCATTTTTTTCTAGTTGAGTCTACAAAACTCTTTGAAAGGGTCGTCTAGCACTTTTTCACTTACTAGCCTTGAAAAGTAAATAATCATTTTGCTAATAAGATATTTTTTTTTACACTTTCATTTCTATTTTCTTCGTAAAAAAATATATATCATTCTGCTTCATCTTGAAAGAGACCAGAAAGATATATCTGTATATAAATATATACACAGAAGGGAAAAATGGATTCTGAGAAGATCAGCTTAACACAGAAATCAATACTTTCATCAGCTATGTTACACGTGGACTCAGATTCTCAATTGGATACAGATAAGACAAAGGGAAAGGAAAAGGATAATATAGGGAATTTTGAATCGAACACTCCTTTACGCCCTGCGATAGTGAAGCAAGAAGAAGATATACGGCAGGATGATTACAAGCAACCACAACAGGAAGTACATCCATCCAGTTACGCGAGCCCTATGTGGCCTCCAAGAAAGTGCGTGCATTGTGATTATACAAATACACCAATAGAGAAGGGTACAAATGCTTTAGGTATTTCATTGTCCACATCTGCTCATACAGTGCCCAGCATACATGCATTTCATTCACATCGTTTAGGCAGTACACTCGCGGGCATGTCTTCATCAACCGCTTCCATCGTCACTTTCAGCCACACTGGCGGCCATTTATTGACGAAGGCAACTAAAACTAATGAAAAGGATCATAATGATGCCTTGGATACAGTAGCGAGGCTTAAGGACGCTTACTCGCTCTTTTCAACACCGACTTCACTTCACATTTTGATGCCCCCTGACATTTCTGTTTCCAAGGCAGTGCCAGAATCGGAACTGCCAATTCAACCTCACCATGATCATTGTAAACTCATTTCTGAGGGAAAGGAGGAAAGGCCGAAAAATTTTTCGGGGAGCAGGGAATGCAGTCTTGAATGTTGTGTTAAAGCAGATAAGGACAGACAAGAAGCTCAGGTTAGCCTAGAGGCCCAGGATGCACACACCTGCTTGTGCACTCTCACAGGGCACCCGGACGAGAGTTCTCAGAAGATTTCTTCTGAAGCAACTATTCCCGAAAAGAATGTAAACCTATACCCCTCAAATCTTGAGGGTAGCACCTCAGACGCCCGAAAAACTGTGGTGCTCCATGGAGAGTGCTACACCCCTCGGAATAGTAGCAGCTACCGCCGTTTGGAGGATTTCGTTGAGAAACAAAGAAGTCCAACTATAATGCGGATAATGAAACGAGCTGTTGAATTAACATTACGTGAAATGCTTGAGAGCTCGTGAGCTATTATTAGTGCTTAATACAAAACGACCTATTGCAGTTGTATAGCGTGTGGGTATGTATGCAAATATCTATATTACTATTTCTGCTAATCAACAATAGCATAAAACCTTATGCATTAGTTCGTTAGGTACATGAATAGACCAAGAAAAAAAGCCGCTAATTTTTTTTCAGTTTTTCAAATTTGCAATGAAAAAAAGGCCATAAATGTTATAAATACTGGGTCTGCAATTGTGAAGAGGTTTGAAGAAAAGCGTTCAAGCTTGAATTTTAGAAATTCAATGATAAATCTTGCTTTTCATAGCTTATATACACATGCTTTTTATTATAGCGTTATATACATGGTTTCGAAAGCACTTCCGAGTAACGATAAAAGCTGGTAAAAGCGAGTAAAGTCTAAATAATTGAGCATCTGAGTTATTATTTATTTTCTTGAGAAGTTTTTTCTACCTTTTTTCGATCTTTTCATTTTCCATTTCGATTTTTCGTTTAGCTGCCTTATTTTCACGAAATTTTTACCGGTGTTATGGTTACATCGCGCTTTCTCTGAATGTTCTTTTATTCCTTTTATATTTTTCCATCTTATCAAATGTTTTATTTCTGAAATTTTAACAAATTTATTTTTATTTTTTAGGAAACAATACATAATATTACTGATAATAATTTTTTTCCTCGCGCGAAGCGGCGTATGATTTTTAAATTCCTTATCGATTTGCTCGTTTGCTAGTTTAACAAGTTTTCGAATTTTGACCAGTTCTGTCAAGGTATGCATGCGTTTTTCTTGAATGGAGTGAGAAACGCTGCTTTACCCTTGCAACTTTTTCCCTATGCGCTTCAAAGTCACGTTTTTGAATTATTAGTGGCTGTTTCTATACACAATTGTTTTTAGCATTAATATACACCTCATCAGAATATTTTGTGTTTTTCCAAACTAACCACAACCCAGAAGTTACAGCTCCTTTGAGACATTTTGTTCTGCTAACTTCCCTCGAAGCAGAATTAGAAAAGTGATCTTGTTTTTGAACAGTACCACTGAAAAAGTAATAAAAGGTTGGATTTTCAAATGCTTACCTTTCTATTCACACTTCCTCCTTAAAACGAAATAATCCGATGGAAGGACTGCAAATGATAACACCAGCCCCCTATTATTTTATGTAAGAATAATTTCGAGTTTAATGCAGATTCTACAGGGTCGTTTTTCATTCATTGCTACTATCTTGCGGCGTTCCCATGTTATCGAAATACATATGGCAAGGGTGCAGGAGAATAAGGAAAAGTAACATATTGACCCATTTTTATTCTTGTTATTTCTTATGTTTCTCCCCTGATCCTTGCATTGTTTCTTAAGGTGTTTTGTTTGAGAATTTTTTTTGCAACCTTTTGGGAATCGTCAATTATACGATTCTATTCTTAACGGAAAAAGTAAAAAGAACATGTTTGGAGAGGGTTTCAAGGTACGCAAGGCTATCTTTATATGTGTATTTATATAAAAATTTGCTTTGCTTATAAATGATTTTCATGGATCATTTTTCTAGAAATCTCTTTCATGGTTATTATTATTATTATTTCTTGTTTTAAAAGGGTAGAGGAATGAGCGTATGTTCATAGAAGCCATTCGGTTTAACCTTCTTCTTTGGTGCTTCTGTTTTGTAGTCTATATACTTTACAAGAATAGGAACACCGAAGTTCCTAACATTAAATAATAGATGCAATAATCAAGGAATCTAAAGTTATATAAGACCGAGGAAGTGGTATCCTTAAGAAACAGCTTCTGTAGCGATATTTCCTCAATTTTCTTCTTTGCTCACCGTTTCCCTATATATATTTTCTTTGGAGCATATTTATTATATTTACCACTCGTTATTTTAATGAGTTACATTTTGTTTATATTAGTCTTTAATATGTGTCTCTACACTCATGAAGACTCGTCAACAACAGAGAAGATACATTGAATACTTTTAGAGGGATTTATTCCCTCTTCCTCGGAAAAAGAAAATAAGCAATACCAAAATGAGCGAATAAATTTTTGTCTTCTTGGAACTTGTGTATAGAGTGCGCATGTCGGGTGTCCGAGAACGTATTCTGAGCTAATTGATTTCTGAGGCCTTGTGGGAGCGAGATGCTACGATGGCAAAGGACTCGGAATGGCTCTGGTTTGTTTCTTGTTCATATCTGTGTAGAGCTTCATCCCTGTGACGAGATAGTATGCTACTTCTTTTTTTTTCGCTCCCCCTCGAGGGAGGGGGATCTACGGGAGCACCCCAACTGCATTATCAGTTTGTAAACGTAATTTTTTCCAAATATAGAGTATTCGCTAAGATCAATATATTGAATCAGAAATTTAGTTAATAAATATGCAATATCGTGTTATACACGGATTCGAATCGTTTCTTATTTTTTAGCTTAAAAAAACCTAAAGAGCTTATTCTCTTAAAAAGTACTTTAGCACCTTATAAAAAAGGTTACTATCGGGTTTTATCTAGTGCATCAATAGTGATAATATTAGTAATAGCAATGCTACATGCATACACGCACGTAAGTATATATAAGGGGAGGAAAAGCAATCTCAAACTAAGTGCTGAAAAGTGCGATTATCAGATAAGAACCTCGAAACTATTTTATTCCGTTTAAATCTGCTTGAAAGGTTTGATCTATCTTAGTATAGATACCAATGTCAATAAAAACGATGAGTATAGGGATAAAAGCGCTTCTTTAATCATTTGTTCGACTTTCAATTATCTCTCCCTTTTTATCTATTCATAATTTAATGAGGGAAAAAGGAACACAGATACATTTAACCTTAATTAGTTGATTCTTTTTTCACTCGAACATCACCAAGGGGAAAAGGAATTTTATTGTTATTTTTTTTTTAAATAGAACACAGGTATCAAGCTAAAGGAAAACAGAGTGAAGTCTGATTTTTATTGTTTCAATAACCCCAAGCAAGTCTAATCCTCCCCGAAGCACATATTTATCAATCTATATATAATATTGTATTTTTGTATAGTGAATCGGGAAAAGACATAGAGGAAGATTGTTGGTGGTGTCCTACGTCCCATATTTGGAGCATACTAGTGCATAATATGAAGGGATTCACAGAACCGAACCAAGAGGCGCATCTGAGATGGGTAACAATCGGCATGCCGAGTTCCATGCAAACATTTTCCACATCTTCGGAAATATTCTCTGAGTGGGTACATAAAGAGGGGGTGCGCAACTTCCTACCATCCTACCACCAACACACATTCCAAATGTCTACGCCACTGCAAGTCTCTCTTGAAATTCCTGAAGAAATTAATATTACGCATGCCCAGAGTATCAGTGATCGGGATAAAAGCGGGGGCCGGATCTACAGATGTCAGCTTGCGTTGGAAAGAGGCGCAAGAGAGCCGTACTTTAGCTCTTTAGAGGCAAACTTTCATTCTGAGCAAGAAGCCTGCCGTTGCAGTATACCCATGGGGTTTTCTACTCCGCTATCCAAACTTACCCCTCTGCGTGCCTCAGAAGCTGCGGATTCCTCACCAGATATTTCCCTGATAACCAGTGCTAGCGCGACACCAGGGACTTTAACAGGGCAGGAAAATTGCATAGTTTTATTTTCTAATTTAGTCACTTCAAATGCCATCGTGCCGAAGATCCAGGTGAGGTCTGGGTCGTGTGTCGCCGGCTCGGTGCCGTTTTCCTCTTTTCTGTTCGAGGAGCTATATTTAGGAATGCCGTCTCAATTACCTACGGCCTGGACTCAAAGTCAGGAGCAACCACAGAAGTGCCTGGAGAAGGATCAAGCGGAGGTGGAAAAATTCACGAAAACAATCCAGAAAGAAGGAACTGGTACCAGAAACGGTGATGAAAATTCTGTTTGCAATATTCTTCCTGCAGTTGGATTCAGGGAAAGGGATGAAGTATATCTTCACGACAAGGTAGGTGGAGACCCCAGCAACGCAACTCATGAGGGCTTCGCATGCAAAGTAGATAAAGGAGTAGATGTCCTGTCAACTGAAGGCAGTGAAACACGTACCTCAGGGAGCAACAAGTCTTTGATCCTACAAACGATACCAATAGCACCACAAAGCTTTGCAAAGAATGAATCATTCCATTTACTGAGTTCCTCATCCACGTTGTCGCTTGAGGGATCGAAAACGACTGACATGCACCATACCTCTGCTTTCAGAGACCAACCCAATACTAACCAGCCAGAGAAGAGATTTCTTTCGATCAGGGCAGGGGATACCCAACGACTATACGGCGATGAGAGGTGCATCCAGCGTGGGTGTATAAAAACTTCCAAACAAAGTACTCCTGATTTGAAAGCAATGTTGGCACTTCAGCACACAGAAAGCGGTGTTTTTGATACACACCGCTTTCCAGAATACTTTGCACTGGCTTCTGTGGCATCAGTTCTTGCTATTGATAGCATGTTGTCTAGTTGTACCAATTAGAAGGGAATTAATCCAAATTTTTGCAACCGAAAAGTGTATCCCTCCTCCTAATACACATATGTGTATATATTTGTCTTTCGTATTTTGTGTCTTTTCTATTAAACTACCATACACACTTTGTTAGTATTTTTGAATGCAGGTCAAATATTATGCATCTTATTTTTTTTCACCATTTTTTTGAGATAGAATGTGTTTCAGTTCAATGATTACATTTTTTTTACCAAATAAGCACTTATTTACTTTTTCTCATACATTCGTCAATTATGATATCACCGTTTTTCAAAAGAATGCACTAGATCTTTTGCTTCATCTTCATTTCTTATCAATCAATATGGAATTTTACCACAACCGGTAGACATCTGAGTGAATGAGAGTTTGAATTTGAAGCCGAATTCATAGAATTTTACTCTAGCTATTTCATGAGCTCTTCTTGATGACTATTTTGTCCCTCTTTTTTACTTTTTGCAAACGAAAAGCTGAGTGAATTACATTGCCATAGAACCTTTTTTAATGCTTCATTTTTTTTTTTGCAAAATTGCGATGCGATCGTTGTCTTTTTAAAACATTTAATGACTCTCACTTTTATCACGTTTAATTATCCTTTCCCCTTTTGGGAAAAAACATGTTTTGCTTATTTATTATAATTATTTCACCCCTAAGGCATCTGAAGATGCATGTATAGTACGCTGGTAAAATGCACTCTGTCAATGCTTTTAACAATATTTGCATCTTTTTTCTATGAACTTTTACTATAAATCTTGGGAAACTATAACAGAATTGCGAGTCAAACCCTGTCTTGAGAATAGAAACTTCTAATATTTTCACGTATATCCTCAATAGAACCTTTTCGTTTCCACCTAATCGCAACACCTACATGAATATTTTCATTCATTATCATCATTTTCGAGTTTGCACGCATACCTATGCTTTACACGTAAGAGTAAAGTTATAAATCCTTTTGATACACATGTTCTTTTTATAGTACTAAATATTTTATAATATTTTCGCTATTCGCCTTATGGCGCTATGAATAATAAAAACACTAACTTTTTTGTATTTTTATTATTATTTATGACATTTGATCTATAAACTTTTTTATAAAAGTTGGTTTCTCATTTTTTTAAAAACTATTGGTGCATCTAAGTAGCACTCTATTACATACTTTTTGGGTTAATTCATATACAGTTGTTTTTATTTTCGTGAATAGCGGTGGTGAAACTAATATCCTTTCCCAACGTTACTTTCTTTACACTTCGAATAGCATAACTTTTTTTCGATATACACACATATACGTGCACCCATTCAGATCTGTATTGGTAGTGTTATACATGATGCTATGCTGTTCTTGTTGGTAATCCGATTCTGAAGGGGAACACGGATATGCTAATGAATTTACAATTTTTCACTTGAGATTTTGAGGGTGATATTAGGACAGAAAGTGCGTAATTTTTTATTTTCGTTTCGTTTGTCTCTTCATTCATCTTGGTCTTCTTTTCTCTTTCAAGTCATGTCATAAAGGAATCAAATATGGAGCGACATTTGCATCCTAATAAATATGGGATTGCTTTTATCCACTAGAATACTCTCATATAGGACTATAGAAATAATAATAATAAAAATGGTTCAACGGTATGTCTGACTTATGCTTCCTGTTGCTTTTAGCTTCATACGTTCATTCTATTGAAACTGTGAGTGGACAGTTTAGGATATATTTAATACGTTTGTAGCCCATAGAAAAGGAAGGAAATGACTATAGGAAGTTGGGCACTGATGACTGTTGTCTACTCTCCTTTAGCTTCGTAGTTGAGTGACAAAGCTAATTCAATAAATAAAATAAAACATTCCAAAATTACAATTAATGTGTGTTGCTTGTTTCCTCGGCAAATCTTGTTGTATTTGGTCACAATATTTGCAGCTTCGATCGATAACAATCGTAAAAGTGATCAAGTGGCTGCCCACAAAGTAGGGAAAGATATGAAATAAATGTGTTCTTGACTAAATTATCAAGAATTAACGCATTTGTTGATTGCTATCATTGTTGTTATTCTTATCATGCATATATACGTACATTCTCCTTTAGTATATATTTTTATATTGGTTCTACGGACTCACTTTCGGTTTAGATTTCTCATTGTTTCAGTGTTCGAGAGGCACTCTGTGTTTAATTCTATGAGCAATATTCATTCTGTTCTTACACGCGTGTGTTCAACACTGCTGAGTTTACAATATTGAAACTTGTTTTCTTAAATGGCAAACCCATTTCCCTTATCCATAAGCGAATCCAGAGGGAGCGACTGTCAGCTAAGCGTTGACTCCCCCCCCCCCCCCTCCCCAAAGCCAAAATGGTACATTTCACATTGATATATTTCTCCAACATTTCGTCACGACAGACCTGGAGCTAAAATACTCCTGTTGCGTTGGGCAGTCAGGTCAGTGTGTATGTTTACCATACCTTAGATGAAAGCGGATGAAACCAACAGTAACGAAGTGTATGCATATAGTTTCTTAAGCATTTAATTTTAAGTTTGATGAAGGCTCAATACTTTTGGAGCTCGAAATATATGACACTTCTCCTTATATTTTCTATATTTTTTTTGCGCCACTGTCATGCATAATTTACAATTCACATCAAATGTTTAGACCATTGAGAGGGGTTATCTTTTCTCCACTTTTGATTCCTTTATTTTCTCATGGCAATTTTTCCTCCTTAAGGACATAAACCAAAAACGAAATTCCAGATATAATACACAGGGTACCTACAAAATTAATATAAGCTTTTTATTATTTTTCTTAATAATAGTGGTACTGATAATAAAAGGAGCAAATCGGAATAGTATACTCGAATTGAGTTTGAAACTAACTAAATCTGATTTGTCCTTGCACTAAGGAATCTAAAAGGAGATAAACCCATAGGTATAAAATGTACCCCTCTCTAAACCCGCACACTACAGTTGGTAGTGATTCCATTCGAAATACTCCCAGCTTGAGTATGAACAGTATACATTTAAATGCTTACCCTGGTGTCTCAGGTGAACGGGCAACGGAATTATACACAAGCCAGCCACTGCAGCAGCCGTCATCCAACGCATTCAGGGGGGATTTTTTCTACTCGGGTAGCACACCCCAAGCAAGTTCTAGTCATCATTTGTCTTCGGCAGCTGTTCCTTTTTCATCAGCATTTAATATCCCTCTTCAGGTCATCAACAACGCAAACCGGGATTTTACTGATGATTATGCCTCGAGATGTGCTTACACGCATGGAATTATACCCCACAGTTATAGGGAAGGATACACAACTGCTCTTCATGCGTACTCTGGGAATCCTACTTCACAGCCCATGCACCGTAAGAGCACCTCTGGCGCACCAGCCATGACGGAGTACAGTCGTGACCACGTTGCCTTGGCCAGACTTTCTTCTGCGTCTTCTCTCTCGACGAGGGCTTCAGCCCCTGGTGAGAATGGAGCCAGACCGATTGTCATCCCCGAGATGGCATTGCCCTATTATCGTTCCCCTACTGAGTATTACTCTCCTCACCCCTCCTCACGCAATAGTCGTATGGAAGATGGTGTCTGTGTGGCCTCTGATAACGTTATGATTCCGCCACCGTGTTTGAAAGATTCCTCATACCATGATCATCAGTTTGTCGGTGCACGTGTCGGCACTTCTGCCCACCCAACGGCTGCATCTACTTCCACACAGACACCACCATTAGCGGTAATGCCCAACACTACATTCACATGGAGATCTCTTCCTTGTGATCCAACCGCACCATCGATTTCTGGACCTTACACGCATGGAATCAATCCAGTTGCGTCTGCTGGCATTGATGAAGCTGCACTTCATCAATCTTCTTCTCTACTCGCGCAATCTTTGCGTTTGGCTTCGACTGATGAACATCCAATGATACAGCGCAATCACGATAATGACAGTCGTAAAGATCTGGGGCATATGAACCTGCTTTTAAATGAGAGGGGGAGCTGTGAGCCTCAAGTTATGCTAGGCAATACAAAGCAATACCCTGAAGCATATATTACACAAGAAAGTGAGCTCGCTGAGGATGAAAGTGTTTTTGCGCGGGTTTCTGCCATTGAAAGGACTCTCATGGAGCTGTTGGCGTGGGGCCGAACGGCTTTATCGTCGCCTTGTCTTTCCTTCCCAAGCCCATCGGGTTGCACCGGGGATTGCAATGTGGATACTGGCCGAGATGTCGGGGTGATAATCCAGACGCAGGCTGGTCAGGTCGAGATGGACCTACAGATCTGTAGTTATCTGTTGGAGTGTCTCGAATGTGTTGAGGAGCAGCTTTTGCCACTGGAGGAAATACTTCATAAATTTCTGCATAAATACATTATCGCTGATGGCAATTCAGTCTTAACTAACCACACGGCACCTATTTCGTCCCCTTTGGGACCTCCAAAGGCGGCTTCACCTCAACTGGTTACCTCTGAGAGGCAGGAAAAGAACGACGTCTCTACCACTTCAGGGGATATCGAGTGTGTAGCTGATAGTCCTTTGGACCCAACTATTACACCTGTTTCAACAATCGAAGCGCATCTTACGGGAGCCACAAGCCTGAATTCAGCCCCTTGCATACCGAAAGAACTTTCAAGTCGATGCGAGCATATTCGGCAGCTCCTCTTGGATGATATACTGCTTGGTCAGTTAACTACGCGCTCTTCCTATGGTGTCTTGAATTTGTCTAATGATGTCGGCAGACTTTCTCACAACAGCTGTATGAGCTTTGGTGGTGCTGGCCTCTCAACTGTAGATTCCTTTCACACATCCCATGGAGTGAGTGGGGACCAACCTCCTCATGAGTTCCCGCCGCTGCGACTTATTATGATTCCTGCTGAGTGCAACGACAACGGGAGACATAGTATAGTTTCAAAAGCCTCAAACAGGGTAACAGCACTAGGTCCGATTGGGTGGGAAGCGAAAGCCCAAGAATCAAACGCAGACCTTCCTATAGCTGAGAGGCTTTCGGGCAGCGGCGGAAGGGACACTGCATCATCGACTGTAACATTGCTAGCCTCTTCTTCGTGCCGTGGTAGCGAACAACTTATTGCAGTCGTTGCTACACCCGTGCGGTACGCACAGTATCAGCTTTTTCTTACTATAAGCATGGCTGTTGATTACCTTAATCATGCTCTTCATCTCGGGCAGCTTCGCAACGAAAAGGAGCTTCAAAAGACATGTGAAAGGACTCAACTTTCACCCACCGTAGCTATCATCAACACCGTACCGAATGAGGCCCTTTTGCCTGCTCGCATCAACCTCCAGAAGGACGCCGAAGTGTTCCGCATGTGGACTAATCGTGTGGGAACACTCCAGGATCGGTTACGGCGGATTAAGGGAAACATTGACGCTGCAGTGAGGGGGCATGCGTCGGTGCGGCGGCAGGTACTCGAGATCCTGAACCAGAGGCTCAACAATGAGGAACGTGTGCAGAATGGAGACGATGACAGTACACACAGATGCTGTGATAATGGGACCCCCGTGGGACCACATGAGCGAGAAAGTGAATTAAACAGCCCTGGTGGGTCGACCGTCGCGTTCCGCGAGACATCTTCTCTCTCCCAACATGAGAGTATGTCTTTTGCGAACTCCAACGCTGTTGACGCCACTACTGTCGCGGAAGCCACGAGAATATCATCTGAAGAGGGTCCGCTATCACATTCAATGGCCTCGGGTGAGACCTTTCGGTTACATAACCTGCCGAGTACTTCTGGTGCACACCAGCCCGTACTTGATACCATTTCCTCAGAGCGGCGACCACAGCAGTTACATCAAGGCGACAATGACGTATCTCATGAGTTCTTATTGCAAATGGGGGATGAAAAAGAAGGCCAACCTACGTGTAACACTAACGGAAATGGTCTTGAGCATTGTGCGAATAAGTTCTTCTATGATCAGGCTTCCAATGTTGAACCTGATGGGGGTGGACCTAGGGAAAATACAAGGAATGCCGTGGAAACGGAGATTGTCGCTTCATCTGGGCTCCTTGAAGGGAGTGGCAACAAAACAGACCCATCCAATGATCCTGTGGGTATAGAAGAACTGTTTAACTCCTATAACAGTGGACGGAAACATAGCAGTTGGAGTGAAACGACCTGCCAAGTTGAGGGAGTGACTCCAACTCATCAGACACTGGTCAGTTTACCACATGATACGGACCATGCAGCATGCAGCAACCCCGCAGACCTGGTAGCATTGGATAGAAGGGATTCATCGGAAGGTGGTGAGGAGTGCAAACCTGACAAAGTGTTTCACCAATGTCATACTCATCTCAATTATCATATATGTGAAGACAGAAGGATCTCGAGTCTTAAGAACTCAGATGATTACAAATGGTGTGCGCGGAAAACATCTCGAGGTGCCTTCTTATCACTCGCTGAACCACGTGCTCGGGCCAGTTCCGTCTGTCCGAATGATAGCAGCGACGATGACGGCCCTATTGAATACAGTTTCCGTAGCCCGAACAACTTGTTTAGAGGGTTTAAGGCCTTCTTGAAAGCGGTTGTGCGGCGTGCAACTAGCTTTGATAGCGACGACGACGAGTTAAATGAGAACAGTCGGAAAAGACGAAGAAGAGGGTGAAGCTAGGAGTAGCGGGAGTAGTAAGTGAAGAGGTTCGTTCTGAATGAACGAAACTTGTGTCTTGCCGAAAATTAGTTGGAGGTGGTAACGACGTAGGGTTGAAGCAATCAATTAACCCAATCTCCAAGGGATGCTGTTACTAGTACTTAAAGCCGTATTATCCATGCAAAAGCATCAATACCTATTTATTTACTCTGTCTATAAGCAGTTACGATTTATTTTATTAATTTTTTAATTTCATGCATATATCCCCTCAAAAAGGGAATGAGGAAGAAGGAAAACTAATTCATATCTAACCGACGTCTTCATGATATCTTCATGCCCTTCAGAAGCTAAAAGTTATATATAAATAATTTCTTTAGATGTCTTTTTTTCTTGTTTATATTCCGTTAGTGCATGTTTGGAGTTGCGAGTAGTGGTGGTATATGAGTAAATTGTTGTGAATAAAAATAGTCTACTTTTGGAGCTGTCATGAAGGGTAGTAAAAGTGCTAGTCTTAAAAAGTGTTGAAATAGATTTATACCGAGTTCTTATGCTTATTTATTTCATTTGTATCCCTTTTTGAGAATTAAAGGAATCTTTTTGTGCATTGTCATGAGTATGAAGGTAAGGTAGGTAATGAGGTACTAACGAGCGACTTTTGAAATATCAGCTTTGCTAGTGTTCCATCCTCGTATTCTTAATCGATCTTCACACAGATGTTATTACTCTCCGTTACATGAGAGTAATACAAGGTATAAATCTTCAAAGGGGATTCTTAAATTCTGAGTTTTGAAGTCAATGAAAAAGACCATTGAACGAACGAAGGATTCGGCATATGTAACGCATTGATATTTCCATATGAAGAACAGATGCATGCGCTGAGAGATAAAACGAGTAATATCGAATTGTAAAGGATGGAACTTTAATTCCAAGCGCCCCTTCCAAAAACATGAGTAGCGGTGTGGATGCGGTAAAAAAGGATTATGCTATATCTCTTTCTAAGTGCATTTTCCTATAGCTTTTTCTTATTGATTTGTGCACATTTTTTCATGCAATCAAACTTTACTCCTTTTATAATCACGGCGAAAGGTAGTCTTTTCGATGTCAACTCCTCCGGTACTTTTTGTTTCTTCTGAGGAGCAACAGGCCGATGACTCCTGAACCTCGCAACTCCAATTTCTACTCTAGATTTTAAAGGAAGAGTTTCTCTTGTTAAGAGAGTGATGAATACTGTTCTGAAGATTCGATATAGTTATTAATATTACCAATAAATGAAAGTTTTCAAAATATAATTAATATCTTTATTCTTGTCTTTTCTGTTGGCTAATTCTATTTTCATCAAGCAACGCCCCAGAAGATTTACAATAATAACATAAAAGTTTAGAACACTGTGATGAAGCGGCGTGTTCTTCGTGCACATGCTAACAAGCGCCAACTACGATTAATTTTTACAACGAATCACCTCTCTAATCCAAACATATTTCACGTCCTATGTGATGCTTCTTTCTTAAGGACTGTTATTCATTCGTACTGGAGTAGTCACAACGGTGGGGATGAGGATGACTTCCAGTCAGGAGGGGTAGGAGGAGTTATGGCATTTATGCAGGATACGGTTGTAAGTGCATTCAATATCATTGATAATCACCACTTGCCGGCTTCCAAACCTCTAAAGGAAACTTATAGGAAGTGTCGCCTCAATGAACGCAAGAAAAAGGCTTGTAACAATTTTTCATCAGTCATAACCGTGAAATTCTATTACTTACCAGAGACAGAGATCGCGCTCCGTCGCATGATGGCAAATAGCAACAGTAGAGACGACACAAAGGCAACGGTCAATGCACTCTTTGCAAATGTTGAAGGGGCCTCACCGGCGCCATCGCAACACAGGAAATCAGCAAAGCAACACGCCCATTCATTTAGGCCCATACATAATAGTAAAACGGAAAGAGATGGTGACAAGGTCGTTCGTGCTCTCTTTTTGGGAATGACAAAGTTAACCCATACCAACAGAATCATCGAAAAGGAAGGCGAGAATCCAAGACAGGTTGCGGCCTCAACTAAAGACGATCATAATACGTCGAAAACTGTTTGTAATGAAGTCAAAGTAATTGAGGCTTTTGCCAGGCAATACTGTTCCCATGAGCGCGGCTGCAGTTACCCTGGCTGGCATGCATCGGTGCTGTTCGAATTGTCCACGCCATCGCCAGCAAAATTTTTCTTTATTGCAACACAGAGTCATGATATGCGTCGTCGTCTGCCAGCACAGGCAGCACTGCTGCGCTGGGCACATAATCCCGATTGTGTGTGGATTGAGCTCAAGTCTGCTACGTATTCGTACCCAGACGATTCTGTGCACTCGGTCACTCATGATGGCGCCGGAGGTCAGGCAGGTCCCTCCAGGTTCAATGGGGCTGAGCTGAGCCGCCTATCAGCTGCTGATATCGCCTTTATGATGCACTTGGGAGTCCTTCAAGGTGGAACAGGATGTGGACGAAAGGCAATGCCGTCGAATTCGGTATCACACTGCGATCCCATCAATGAAAGTTCTAAGGTGTCCAAATCAGAGGTAGCGGGGGAAGTAAACTCGCACATGGGAGAGGCTTCCCTACCTTGTGATGTCGAACACTCCCCAGCTGTTGGGAATCGGAAGCGCAAAAGGCAACGTAACCCCAATCCGCTCTCGATGAAGAAGAAGCAGAAGCGTGAATCTTTTCGCATTAGATGAATTAAATCCAAAAGCAAACGTTTCACCGAAGTGAAGGGTGACATCCTGACAAATGACTTGCACTATGGCATATTTGAGGGGCATTTTGGACGAGTGAAATAAGGGGAAGTAAAACACATGTCATGGTTAGACCGTTTCACGGACTAGTTTCGATATGAAATAGCATAGCGTATGCTAAGGTGTTAACCTGTACTACCTAGCATCGTATCTAAATTATCCACATAGCTTCTTGGCTATGACCTAAAGATTTTTACTTGTTCTTATCTTTATCTGTCTTCAAGATTGTTAATCAGCTAAAATAATTTTTGGAGTTGGTATTTTTTTTTACGTACTGTTACCGTTCCCCTTCCTCTTTATACTCAATATGGTGTAATTCGCATGAATATTGATAGTCTAGACATCAATATAGCACATTAGCCTTCATACACCTTTTTCTTTATTTTACAGCTTTGCTTTCATTTCAATTGTGGCAGACAAATATATTTCCTTAATGAGTTATGCATATATATACATACTATCAAAATATAATTAGTATAAACCGTTCAAAAAGTGAGTGAGGTGAGTATTGCTTAGGTTTTTAGACTACTTATTACATATTTGAACATCAGAGGAGTCCTAATGTCTCTGAGTCACGCGGATTTACTTAGCATTTTGTTCTATCTTAATCTACCACCACATTTTTTACATGACTCAGAACATGAGTGCAATTCGCCTTATCCCTTACGAGTGACTAAACGGAGCTATTCGTCTGGCTCTCTAGTTGCTTCAGCACCCTCATTTAGGTGGTGTGCAGACACAGCGGCGTTTCTGTACCGCTGTTCTGGTCTCTTATATTCGCCTTCGCACATTCGAAGTGCTTTTGAACGCATTTTTTTTGAGGACTGTGATGGTAAACTGGAGCGTCTGCAAAGAAAGTGTCAGGAGCGGGCTGCCGCGTGGCGCAGGGAAGAGGAGGGATTGCGACAACAGAGTGAGTATTGCCATGTGGCGTATAGCAGCGACGCTGCAAAAGAGACTTCACTCGCACAGAAGTACTCGCTATCTGAGATGTCGAATGGTGATGAGTGTAGATTTTCACCAGCGGCTGTGCTTTTAGATACGGCTAATGCCCCTCTTTCTACTAGCGACTACATGAGCGACAAACTTTCAAATATTGATGGTAGCCATGATAATCAGGCAGAGGTGACTGTTGCATTTGAGGACCCCACATCACCTAGAAAACGGGATAGGGCCTCTGAGGAGTTTACCGTATCGTCTTTCTTAAATAGCACTACAAGGGTGTTCAGTGGTGCGCGTCTGGACACCATCGCGAAGAAGGTGGACGAGATGCCTTCTATGCCATTTGGGGTGACAATGCATACACAAATATCCACTATCGAAGGCAGTCGATCTGTTGGCTGTGAAATATCCTCAGTAAGACAGTGCAATGGTTCACTCGGAATTGGTAATGTCGGGGGAACTATGGACGAGGTAAGAAGCTCTTGGCCTCCTGCCGCTGCGGCAAATATGACTCATGTAATTCCCCCGCATCAACGAGTCGTGCAAAGAGATACAAACCTCAGGAAGAAAGATGTGGTAGGGTGCGATGCCAGTGGTACCGACGACGACGAAGACGAAATATGGTCCTTTGCTGATTACACACCTGAGCAGCGTGCACGACTGTATCGCCTGCGATACAATACACTCCTTGGTCCTGAAGTTTTATCAAATATTTTGCAGCAATTCTTTCTTGTGGACGGTGCGGGTGTCTTTTTCTTACCAGTTCCTGATCAAACCATTATGGAGTATAATGAGGTGCGCTCTGGACCCTATTGCGATGTTATCTACGCGCCTCAGTCGCTTATGCAAGTGAAGCGCGAGATACTTGAGAGTCGGAGGCGGTACTACCAGTTAAAGCAGCCATTGGGATTGAATTCCATTCGACGACACGGCTCAGACATCAGGCACACCAGGGTAATAGATCGCGCTTGGCAAGAATTCGGGCATGAATCAAAGCTGGACTATCCTCCTCATGTGAAAAATATTCGAGAACCGAAGATTGCCCAGCCAACACAACATAAACATCATCAAAACAACGATGTTAGTAATGACGGTTGTGAAGCTAGGTACACACAGAAGAGTAACGCACCCTCACAAGTATCCACAGATAAGTTTAAGGTAACAATTCATAGTGCCAAAGACTACGACAACAACTCTGATCTGTCTGTCTGGAGCCATACTGATCAAATTCTTTCTATATCGGAACTTGAACGGGCAGTGTGGCAGATTGCAGCAAATTGCGTAATGTTTAACGCTCCAGAATCGTATTATCCAAACACTGCACGAAACTTCGCAAAATCGTGCAGCAAGATATTGGCTCGGTGGTGTGAGGAACATATGCAGTGTTTCTAAATAAAATAAAATGGGGGACTATCAATAAAGTGGATCAAAATCAGCAACCAAACGTGGAATAGACAAAAAATATAAAAAAGCAAGAGAACAAGCTAAAAAGCGTCAATTACTATAAACAAGCCATAATTACGCAAATAAACCCATGACAAATATATATAGTAAGCAAAAGGGGACACCTGACTGCGATCTGAGGCTTCCAGTGGCGTTCTGCTCTCTGAGGGTGGGTCTTGTATCCTTTTCCCTGGACGCGTGTGCTATTTCTTGCCTTTCCCGTACGTGTGTCTTTTTCTTTTCCCTCACTCCGTTCATACAACCACGATGCGATGCGAAAGCCCAGTGGCGTTATGCACGTTACTCATTCCTTCTGATTGTTACCCCTCTTTCTATCACCAAAGCTTTCAACCTTAAGTCTAACTTCCTCCACCTACACCACAAAAGTTACTACTACCAACCACCACTACTAACCCAGAGATCAAAATGATGAGGACCGCTTGTTTGTCTGCCGCTGCGTCGGCCTTCTACATGCCGACGATCAACTTCGTTGGGAACGGTGCCCTGAAGATGGCGTGCCCGAAGATCAAGTCGCTGAACCTCAGCCACCCGTTTATTGTCACCGATGAGGGCATCTGCCAGTCCGGGCTGCTTGAGACGACGATCGAGATTCTGAAGGCGGAGGCCGGCACCAAGAATGCTACGGTGTTCAGCGGTGTGCAGCCAAACCCGACCGTCAAGAACGTGAATGATGGGCTGAAGATGCTGAGCGAGACGAATTGTGACTATATCATCAGCCTCGGCGGTGGGTCCCCGCATGACTGTGCGAAGGGCATCGCGCTGGTGAAGAGCAACGGCGGCAAGATCGAAGATTTCGAAGGGCTGGACAAGGCTGCGAAGCCGCAGTTCCCCTTGGTCGCGGTTAACACGACGGCTGGCACCGCCAGTGAGCTTACGCGCTTCGCTGTGATCACGGATGAGACCCGGCACACTAAGATGGTGATCACGACGGATATGTCGACGCCGCTCATTGCGGTAAGTGCCACCGAACTGATGATGCAGCAACCGAAGTCGCTGACAGCGGCCACCGGCATGGATGCGCTTACCCACGCTGTCGAGGCCTACGTGTCCATCGCAGCGTCACCCATCACTGACGCGTGTGCTCTGCAGGCGATCCGCCTTATCAAGAGGAACCTGGTGACGGCTACCTTCCATGGCGACGATGTCGAGGCGCGTGATGGCATGTGCTACGCCCAGAGCCTCGCTGGCATGGCCTTCAACAGTGCCGGCCTCGGGTATGTGCACGCCTGCGCGCATCAGATGGGCGGTGTGTACAACCTGCCACACGGCGTCTGCAACGCGATTCTGCTGCCCCGCGTCGAGGAGTTCAACAAGACGGTCGTGCCGCACCGACTGCGGGATATCGGTGAGGCGCTGGGCGTGAACACCGTTGGCATGTCGGACATGTGCGCCGCGGATGCTGCACTGGAGGCGATTCGCGCGTTGTCCAGCGCGGTGGAGATCCCGTCCGGGTTCGCGGCGCTGGGCGCTGCGAATGAGGGGGATCTGCCGAAGCTGGCGGATGCCGCCATGAAGGACGTGTGTGCTTGCTTCAACCCCCGCACGCTTACAAAGGAGGATGTTATACAGATATTCCGCAACGCCTTTTAGGACGCGCGCCCAACCGAGATGCGTACATTAAGGCGATGAGGGGCGAAGCCCCTGGTATGTGCGTCTGCTGCGACGTGGGACGTTTTATTAAGTATGAGCAAATCCGTTTTTCGTTGCACTAATCTCTTTGACGGCGCAGGGCAAAAGATATAGACCAAAAGGGAAGCCTAATTTGCACGGATAGAGCGGAGATGCACCTCGTAGATGGAGGTGAATTAGGAAGGGGCTTGGGGACTCCTTTGCTCCATTTCCATATTTGCCCCCTGATGCGATTATCTTATTAGCTATTTTAACCGGTGTCCCGTTCTCGTGATGCCCCTGCATGCGGTGAATGTACAAAGACGCTCGACACCGAACCGACAGGGGGACGAAGTGCAGCCTGTGCAGCACATCTTCTTAGCTAAGTAAGTAGTTTGAATGGTAATGCTAGTCTTTCCGTTGTCCTCACTTTTTAACCGTATTACTTATCACTTATTACCATACCTTGCCTAGCAGAAGTATGCTGGCAAAGGGTTTGTTTTAAATTTATCTTGAATAATGTCTTTTTTTTTTTGGTTGCCACGATACGAAAGTTGTTTCGAGCTTACTATATAAAAGCATGCTTGTGGAAATATTGATATATTACAAAATCAAAAATTTAACTACGGTTGGGCTAAAGAAATAGTAGGATAAATGAATAGTAGGATAAAGAATACTTATCAAAAGATATAGCTACTTATTACTTTGAACCTTTTATTTTTAACTAGTAAGCAATTACAGAACTGATGGGGGAGAATCTCAGTATACCCACACAACAGTCTGAACTGTGTTAGCGGTGGAGTGCGTGACAGGGCTCTACCGGTTGGGGCACGTGTGATTCTTCCCCGAGGCGGTGCGCTGTGAATGCGTGCGAAGATAAAATGGAGAGGGTAAATGCACTGCTTTAGTCCTTTTTCCTTTTCTTCCCGAGGCCCCTGTTTGGAGTGAGGGGGCCGTTGTTTCTGAAAGCGTAGCTTGCTTGACACATTTGCTAGTTGCTATTCCTCGGACGTGTTGCGTTCTTTCTCATAAGGGGGGCGATCCTTCGACGAAGCGGTGGGAACAGGAAGAATCCGAGGCGAGGCACGGAGGCGCACACGGGAGGAACGACCATGCCTGTGTTCAGCATTATTTTGAAGGCAGGGGAGTGGGAAGGCGTCGCGGCCGTGCGGCCGTCGGACGGTCGCTGCTGGGCCCTGAAGTGCCGCTGTCTTACGTGCCACGAGGTGACGGATAATTATTTGTTCATCGATTCGAACGAATTATGTAGCAGCGGTGGTGGTGGGGTGCGCAATTACTCGTCGCAGTGCCGTTTTTGCAAGGAGAGGGTGACTGCCAACGTTCTCAGTGCACCACCTTGTTCGAAAGTGGCCCTCGAGAGCGGCAACCGCGGCGTGCCCTCGCTCGGTTCATATTGCCCTGACCAGCACCCCGAAGGGGGCGTTGTGGTGCAGCTGGACATGCGCGGCGCGGAGCCGGTGGAGCTGCGGCTTGATGAGCAATGGGTGGTGGAGGGCATGAGTGGCGTGGTGTTTAAGGACGTGGATCTTTCTGACGATTGGTACGACTACGACGAGGCGGCCGGCTCGACGGTGAGCATCGGTGGCGTTTCAGTCTCTTTCCATCGTGTGAGGAGGTAGGAGCCACGTGAGGGAGGTGTGGGGGACTATCGTGGCGATGCGTGGTGTGGTAGGTGGGAGTTACATGGCGCGCTGTGCCAAGGTGAGCTTGTGTGATTCCGCCCCCACACTGGCATGTGCCGAGAGGCGAACACGTGCGGCGACGGTGCGCATACGCGCAAAATTTCGATGTATACACGAACAAGGCGTTGTGGCAAAGCCACATGGCACCGGCGCCCCGCGTTGGCAGTTGCATCAAAATATCTTGATAGAGAAATGGCACGGCAGCAGCAGCCGCACCCGTAAATTTGCTGCCAACGCCTTCCCTTTATCGCAGCCTTGTGGCAGCCTGAGTTGTATTTTGGTTTCCGTTCGGTTCAGTTGCTTTGCTCAGATGCTGTCGAGTGACACCCACTTGTGCGCACACACACGTTATTCATCAGCATGCCCACTTTCGCGCTGCGGGATGTTGTTTACGGCTTTAGCGTTGGGGGGCTTTGTGTTGGTGGCAGGGCTTATCTTGTGTTCCCCTCTTGTTGCCTTTCTGTTTAGCTTGTTATTATCGTCCGCGGTTCCGCCAGCGCTTGGTTCTCTGTGTAGAATACGATTGCACCGAATTGAACGTAGGGTTTAGCTTATTTCTCGTTGCTGAGCATCTTAAAGAAGTGGAGTATCCTTGTGCACGTGGACTTTGCCACGCACACGGGCACAGGTGAAGTTCAGCTCCATTGCCTTGCATGCATTTACTGCTTCTGTGACAATGTGTGCCGCTTTGCGAGCGTTTGTTGAGCGGCGTTGTTTCTCGTGTGATCACAGTTCCATTTGTTTGGAGATGGGGGAGCAGAGTGCGGAGGGGGGGGCGGTCCAAGAGGTCTTACGCTTTTTAAATCCTTTTATCTCAACATTTCAAGGAGAAGACCTTGTTTGTTTACGCATCATTGCATTTGTGTAGTTTCACAGGTGATAGCAACACAGACATTGATAGCGATTCAAAGGTGGGAGCGAAAGCATACATAGTTGCATTATCGTGGCGGGGGAAGCAGACGGGGTGTGGTTGAAAAGGGTGTAGACGAAGCGGAAAACTATCTTTTTAAGATCAAAAAGTGACGCCCGGGGGAAGTAGCGGCGACAAGAATCATAGGTTGCGCCGGCCCCAAGGTGTGCGCAAGGGTGACCATATATAGGCATATATAGTTGTTTGTGCGCCATTGGTTTGGGGTCAAATGTTCCTTGAGACTGAGGAGAACGCCGAGCTCCTTGAGTTGCTGTCGCAGGTTCGTGCCGCGGCCGCTCTTGAGGAGAGTGAGGAGACGTTGCCGTTTTCCGGAGCCTCCTCGGACGCGCTACATCCTTCGCTCCAGCACGGACGTGTTCGCGGGGCGCCCGCCGCGTTGGGCACTCATACTGCTATTCTTCACCGTGAAGACCTGTCTACTGCCACACCTGCGGAGGGCACCTACACCCCATGTGAGTTGCAGCGACCGTCTGGGCCGCCTTTTGGTGAGCCCTCAGGTACTATTAGGGACTCGGAGAGGGGATCGTGGTCATCACCGGGGCCTAACCCGAGCAGCAGGTGCCGTAGTAAACAGCCGCATTCTGGGCTTATGAGCGACGCTTATGGTCTTTCCCCGACTTCCACACTGCCCACACCTGCGATGGGCTGCGGCGCGGCGCCCGCCGCTGGTGTGGTCGCAGCCACAGGTCACCACGCACACCCGGACTCGGCTGGGAGGCTCCTCTCTAGCGAACACGGCGATGCTCTCCAGCGTACCGGTGCTTTGGACAGTCTACACCCGATGGACGAACACGCAGTGTCCCAGAGGAAGCTCAGCTTCACGGGGGGCGCCGCTTGCGCCGCGTCCCCTTTTGCCTACACGACTTCCTCGACTCGTGTGACGGTGAGCCCGACCGATGCGAGGCCCTGTGACGCCCTGCAACAGCCCCCACGGCCAGCGGAGATGCGCTACACGCTCTGTCAAGCTAAAGTGGTGGATACCCCCGACCTGCCATCATCGGCAGTTGCGCGATTGGCACTGCTTCCCGGCGCGATGGGAGGTAAAAGTATCTCAGCAGCGGCTACGATTTCTGAGGCGGTGACAACCCAGCAGTTGATTGGTGCCTGTGCAACACCACCAACAACTTCTGCAGTGCTTGCTTTGGGTCCGGCCTATGGTGGTCTTTTACCTGCCTCGGACAGAGTTCAGACTACCTCTATTGGGACGGCTTTGCCTTTCTCATCGGATTGTGGCAGCCCACAATCTGTGACGCCACTTCATCGGAAGGCTCTTCCACGCGCCACTTCTTCAGGGGAAAGACATGTTCAGGTGTCAATCCAGCACTCGTCAGGAGAAGGGATGGTTGTTTCGCATGGGAGCATGCCAACTGCACACGCGGTAGATGTTGAAGTTGGGACAGGTACCGGGCGTGGCACGGGTCAAAACACTGATCAAACTGCAGTAATCCCCACAAAGAGCAACAATGCGCATCATGCAATACCCATGAACCTTTCTCTACCCGCGACACCAGTGCAGGGTGGGGGGTGGGGTAACGACAGCTGCGCTGCAGCAGATATTTGGCAACAGGTTCCTCAAACTTTGAATGATGAAGATTGTGGTACACCTCAGCATCACCTTTTCCGACCTCGCTCAAATGAACTGAATATTTTTATGCTGCCATCTCCACCGCGGCCCTTAGCGGCTTTACCATTGACGTCTTGTACAACAGAGACTGTTCAGCAGATGCAGAATATTCCTTTTGCATCTGATTCATCAGGGCGGAGCCCCGTCGATCCTACCCACATTCATCACTATCTCAGTTCGCTCCATGTCGCTAACATGAGGGGGGGCACTGAGGCTTTCTCCCGTCCTCCTCAGCCTAATCAGGAAGGTTCTCATTCAAATATCAGGACGGGCTACAGTAACCCATCAATGACGCAAGTTCCACCGGTGATAACCATGCACGCAGTGCGCCCGAAGACTTCGACTTCTACAGACTCACCTTCCCGAGCATCACGGCCTATATCTCAGCCATCGAATGTCTCCAATGCTCGTACTTCCGTTGTCATTGGCTCCACGGCAGTTCCGAACAGCACAAGTGTGTTCCTGTCCTCGATCGCACATCTGCAGGACGGGCACACTCCTTGTGGTGGCAAGTCCAGTGGGATGGATTGGCAGCGTGGTTTTACTAGCCTAGTTGGTCCATCACAAGCCACGAAGTCGGAGGACAACGGTGCCAACACCCCTGGTAGTGGTGGGCCACCACCATCGGAGCGGTATGCGCATTATTTACAGCGTGGTGTTCTGACAAGCCCTTTTATGCCTATTCAGCAACCTAATGCGCATCCGCAGTTGCAGAGACGCCCTAACAGTACCACCGCCATTACACTGAACGCCACGGCCACACCCAAGACCGCCAAAAATTCAAACCCTCGAAACTCATCGACCAAGGGTGCATGCAGCAGCACGAACACGTCTCTGCATGTGGTGTCCGCTACAGCAGCTGTTGGTACTGGACGTGCGAGCGGCGGCACCCGTCAATCAAACAGCCATCACTCTCATTGTGTTGCTGCGGGATCACCTAACGCGCCTGGGTGCGTCTCACCGTCTATCGCAGCAACCTTATTGCTGTTTCTTAATACTCCTGAATGTGGAGATAGCAGCGGCGACAATACCTTCGCTGAGGATGATGCGGCGGGTGGCGTTCTCGGGAGACAAATCCTAGCGCTCTCACGCGACCAGCAGGGTTGCCGTTCTCTTCAAGCTGTTCTGGATTGCGAGGCAGCGAATCGCTACGGTGATGCAATGATGCCCTCTGCTCGTGTGCGAGGTTCACAGGACTACGGAGGTGCGAAACATCTTCAGAAGGATGACAATGAGCGACGGGGAGGCGATACGGTAGTGGGTGCCGTGAACACGGTAGCAAGTGGGGATGCGTCTTCGTTGCCACCACTTTCTCTTCCTTTACGTCGAATTATTGCAGCCCTAGAGCCGCACCTGCCCCAGGTCATGTCGGATGCCTACGGGAACTTTTTGGTTCAGAAGTTATTTGAAGTGTTGAATGATGACGAGCGTTTACCACTTTTATGCAAAGGCTCTATCCTCCACAAGGGATTGGGTGAGGTGGCTTGTTCTCCACACGGCACCTTTGCTGTGCAGCGTCTTGTTGAGACTCTGCGCAATGAGGCGGAGGAGGAGGCTGTGTTTAGCAGCCTCGGCGATCATTTGGTTCAATTGCTGCTTGATGCTAACGGCGGACACGTCCTATTAAAGGTGATGAGCTATATTAAGGGCGCATACGGGTCTCGAGGTGCCGGCGTTGGCTCAGTAACTGTTAGTCCAACCGCGGTTAATCCTCATACCACATTAGGGGAGGGTAATGTGGAGTCCAATCTCAAGTATCGCGGCAGCACGAATGCTGTTTCTGAGGAAAACAGTTGCCTCAGAAAGGCGCTGCAAAGTGGGGAGCTTTCTGTCGATGCAATGCGGCAGAAGATACGTTTCTTGTACGATGGTCTTTTGAAAAGTATTTTGGTGGTATGTCGGCATCGACAGGGATGCTGTATCACTCAGAAGTGTTTGGATTTCTTTGCGCAGATATTTCCGGTTACGTCTGACGCCCGCGACGCACCGCTTACCACTTCCCAGCCATCTGGGCACGAAGATTTTTTCGTTGGATTGGTGAAAAAACTGTTGGAACACCTTACCGCATTGGTAATGGACCCCTATGGCAACTACGTTATCACACACGCGGTTGAAGTATGTTACGCCCGGGGGAGCATTCAACTCGTAGATGTTGTGGCGCAGCGAATGCAGGAGCGCATGACATCGTTTTGCAAGGATAAGTACGCTTCAAACGTGATGGAGCATGTCTTGCGGTATAGCAGTGAAAAGCGAATCCGTGCTTTTTGCCGCAACCTCTTGACGCCTTCCACACTAGCTTTCTCTGCTTCACGGGATAGGAGTCTTGGACGAGGAAATAGTGATAAGAAGACCCCGAAAACAAGGGATGCGCGCGGTTGCGAAAGCGAGGGGAGTGCAGTACCAGGGGATCCAGCGGCACTGTTGGACTGGCATCTTTGGCCGCTTGTTGACGTGGCCTTGGATCCGTTTGGCAATTATGTGGTTCAGACATTGCTAACAGTGGCACCGGTGGACGAGCTGTTCCACGTTGAGGATACTACCCAGACTGGTTTGAGCGAATCTTTTGAACAACACGATGAGAAATCGCATACTCATGATGAGAATCCTTATCGTTTGAGTAAACAGGGGAGCCATTCCTCGACATTGGTGAACAAAACGCGCGACAACTCTTACGGGCTGCTACCCGTACTGCAGCGGTACTTGCCCCTGCTTCAGGAGAAAAGCTTCACGAGAAAGATCGAGACTAAAATGGAGCTTGCGCTTCTGCGCGTCGAAGAAGAAAAAATGCGACGGCAGCATCAGAAGTAATTTGATTGTTTGACACTTTTTGATAGTTCTTACTTTTTTTTTCTTAGTATAAGTACGAATATTTGCTGGGACACACCCAGAAAGGAAAATGAAAGTATTCTCTCTATATAAATGGTAAACTAAACCATACGAAAGTGACACGAATATGCTTTTATTTATCTGTCCATAACCGTAAATGGACACGTATGTGCTTTTGCAAATGTAACGTATGTGCGACGCATGTCAATATGTTATAATGTTGACTTACTCTTACGAAGTGTTTTTGATCTTTGTTATCTTTGATCTGATGTCGAATACTAGTATTCACAAAAATGTCTAGCAAAATATACCTCCGGCGATGGCCTCAATTTTTTTTTGAGTAGTAGTCTTGTGATTGTGTGCTGTTCGCTTCTTTCCTTTTCCACGTCCCGTTGCCCTTTCCCACCGCGCGCGTGGTCCTAGGCGGCGTCCATTTTTGGAGCGGGGCGGTCCGTCCCCTTGGGAATTTTTAGGAGCCGCCGGGCGGATCGTTCGGGGCTGAGAGAGGGAGGGGGGGGAGGGAAAAGGACGCCCCGCGGATGACCCGTGGCGGGGAACGATTTGTACCCTGGCCAGGGAACTTGTGCCCACGGAGTTTATATCGAAAAGGCAATTTTTACAGCACTTTGTTCTGGCCGTTCTCCCGAGGTATTGTTTGCTCCATCTTTACCAAACCTGGAAGGCGATTCGCAGCAATTCGTGCCTCTGTTCGGGAGCCTGGGGGTGGTTGTTTGTATGGCCCGCTGCCTTCCCCCTGTTTGGGGTTTCGAAAAGGCAACGCGACGCCCCACGTTAATTTACGGTCCGCCTTAGGTATTGGGCCGATATTGTGCAAATCGGTTCTAGCGGCGGCCCCGCCGATTGTGCGCCCTTCTCTTTCTTTTCCCAGGGCACTACGGTCCAGCAGCGCCGCGCAGCATTAATGCTTTCTTTGGTTACCCTGAGCGGTCCGACCAAACCTTGTGTATCGACTGATTCCTTAATCATTAGTACCACTGTAGGGAAACAGCTGCGTATTCTGTCCAAACTCTCTGCTCACTCACTTCCGTGTGTTTGTGCTGCGCGCCATGAGGCCGCATTTACTAAATCTCTCTCGCTTATTTTTGTCCATCTTTTTTTTTCACTACTAATTACGAATATAAAGACTTGACACTGATATGTTTGAGATTATTTTTCAATTCTTTTTCCGTGTCTCTTCCCCTTTAACGTAGAACTTTCGCATTGTTGCCGCTTTTTACCTACCCACTATATTAATCTGCGGTGTTCTGATGTGTCAACGCCTCAAACGCCAATCTCAGCTACCGGAGCCCTGGCGCTAGCCAGCTCAAATGAATTTTAGGTATCCCTATAGCCAGGACATTGTGTGAACGCTAACCGTTTCCCATAACTTTTTCATTGTAGAGACAGCCACGCTGTTTATGTTGGAATGCGCCCTTCTATCTAAGGGCGAAACTTATCTCCTGCACGCTTGCCATTTTCATGATCCAATTCCATAGCATAAACGATTTGACGGTGGATGCGGGGCGCTTACAATGGCCTCCCTGATCTTGACATCACGGATGCTTTGTTCGCGTCCGATTTATGATATTGGAGATGATAGCTCAACCTAGGACTGTGAAACGATCCGCCTGAACGACTAAGTGCCTATTCGCTTAGGGTGTCGTGTTTCCTTACCTATCTTGCGCTACTCATGTCAGTCTTAGGACTATTCACATGCTCTGGGCTGTGATCTGGAACAGTCCTAGGGCCGTTGCGTTGGGCATGTCTCTTTCGGTCCGTGACTTAAGTGACAACCAGATACCTATGAAGCGCGGGCCGCGGGTAACACCTGAGAGAAATTCTCATTTTTTTTTTTCATCAAACCGCTCCAACAAGGAATTGGATAGAGTTGTCCTCTTTGTACAATCACTCCTTTATTCTATCGTCGTGGATGTTTGCACAAGCTTATCTTAGACTCTTTTATACAGAGTGATGTCAAAATCTCTCTCTCAAAGAGGCGCGTATTTCTTCCCATTCAATGTGGAATTATGATATTGGAAAAAATATTAATCCTACTCAAGATGCTCCTAACTTCTGTAATCAGGGAGTAAACTATTCGCCAGTTTCCGAATAGAATTTACCCGCGGTATATGCGTGACATCTTTTTGTGATGCCGCGGACTGATAGCCAATTGGCGAAGCTAAGTGCCTGCACGCCTTCCCGTTACCGGCGGAGGCATGTAGGCTTGGCTACTGGTACTCGTTGGGCATTCGACAGGGCCTCTCCAGAGGCTGTCCGAGCGGATGAAACACTCCGACTGAACACAGTTAACGCTTATCTGGTCTCCAGATACAGCTTCAAATACACTAAGGGCGTTCAAGCCTTGCTTTTACGATGTGGTGACATCCACAAGAACCCGGGACTCCTCAGTGTAACACAATGCCAATGGAATAAAATTGACAGCTTATAGACTATAAATCGCTCGGGATGAATGCGACAAATGATTGGTATTTAAGTTTCCTCGTCTTTGCAACCCGTGATAAAATAGCTACGTGCATCAACCTTGCGTCTTGATGCCGAACCAGCCCATTTTTTTTGCAGAAGCTCCTTGTGGAGTTTCCAATTCTTGGGCGATCCTTCGGAGGCAGGCTGTAGCGTAGCAGCCAATTGTCCATATCTGATCGGGATCTTTACATCTGTGCGGAAATTTCATTCTCATGCTCCCAGCAATGCACCACCTGATCCAGGTGCGGGTTCAAAAATGAGATACCACCAGACTACTACCACCTTAAATCATGGCAGCGAAAGTGGTAACTGATCTTTACAATGGTGGGTTTCCTAAATATCGGATAAAATTTGATCCGATGAAGGTCCAGTTGAGCAGATAGCCAAGAATAAAATCAGAGCTCGACTAAGATTTTTGTTCCATCAATTGTACACTAGAAAGAACACTCAAGTCAGCTGAATGAATGTATTTCTGTCTTAAAACAGGCAGTACTCATTATATACTAAAAGAAAAGAAGACTAAGAGTATTAACATAGCAGACAGCCTTGACAATTAAAAATAAAAAGGATAGCGAGAAATTAGTACAGTCCG